ACACTTTTCATTGTAAGACAGTAAACCCCATTCTAATCCACCTTCCACACAGCAGGAGTCAACCCTATGTTGCTACAAGTAGCAACGGGGGGTCGTATTTCTGATGAGTTTGTAGAGGGGGGGGGTCGTACTTGCTTCGGTTGTAAGAAGTTGCATGTGATGAGTGGGGAGCGGCGCGGGAGAAAATTTGCCGTTTCAGCGCGCGTATATACTCCCCCTAGAAAATGGTAGCAGTTGAAATTTTGGTAAGAATATATGGAAATTGTAGGGAAATGTAGGGAATTTGCGGTTTTATGGTAAGTATATACCCCCCCGCTCGACGGTAATTTTTTGGGGTAAAAATTGTTTTGAAAGAGGGGGTCGTATGAAACATTTCATGAGGGAGGGGGTCGTAAAAACTTTTTGAAAAGTAGCAACGATAGGACCGACCCTGCTTCCACATATACCTACTTGCGCTTTACCCAGAAGAATAACAACGAAACGCGCTCAATATCGCAAGGCTTTAAGTTCTGGCCTCGTTTGCCCATGACAAATGGTTATGCGATTGGCAATTACAGCCATTTGGCCAGCCAAATTAGCCTACAATTCTTCCACGTCAAGGCAGACACACTCCGCCGTGAGTTGTTTATACCCGTTCTCATTGAACCTCAATACCTCGACCACTTTAGGGGCCGTATGCTATCCTCCCCGAAGGGGTTAGGGGACGAAAATTCCTTTAAATTTTCTCTGTCTTCCCAACTGGGATTACCCTGATAAAAGGCCTACATTAAATGTATGTATGTAGGTTAAAGTAAACATGCATTGAAAATGAAGAAGCGACATCGTTCAAAGCAAATAAATTTAAAGGAAACTTTGCGTCACCTAGCTTCGGGGAAGCATAGCATACGGCCCTAGGTTGGAGCTAGAATGGGAAAGGCATCACTTACGTTAACGTATTCAAGGACCTATGAGAAAACAGTTGCCAAAGCATATTTATTACTGTTCTTACTGTTTTATTACTGTTCGCTATGAAAACTCTTGAAAGAGGGGAAGACGTGTGGAAAAGCATTTCATATGCAACGTCATGCACGAGACTT